CCAATGAGCCTCTCGAGCTCGATGAGCCCTGGCGAAGATCTCTTTGTTCTGCAAGAAAAATAACATGCGCACGTTGGGATGACTTATCCTCGTTGTTGCGATAGGATGCATCTGGATAGCCAACTATGCGTGTCTTTCCACGAGGGGGCCAGAATCTCATGCTAAGCGGGATGCTTTTGATGGTTCTGACTGTCTTATTAATGGCGCGAACGTCCTCAATGGTTGGTGATGATGCCTTGGATGCACACCTTGAGAATTGATAACCAATGTGGAATTGCGTTCGCGACTGTAACAAGTTGATCTGACCTAGGACACTTCTGTATGCAGTATGCATCTGTGGAGTAAGAGGAGTGTCGTCCTTCAGGTGTTTGTCAAAAGTGATCTCCTGCAATTCGTCGATGGCAACGTTCTGATGAACATTGATGTACCAACCATGCTTGTCGTCTTGCTTCCATTGGATGCGCTGTCCTACGACGGATGATTCCTTTTTCTTGGTATCTACAGAGGAGCCTGGTTGCTCCTTCTGCAAGGATTCTCGCTCTTCAGGTAACAGAAGGTCAATTCCGGGTTTCCCCGGAGGGATGGTTTCATCCTTCCTGAGCTTCGTCATGTTAACCTTGATGACGTGCTTCTTGGAAAGCTTGCTTTGACAGCTGCTTGATCTGGATGGCTGTCATCTCTTCTTCATTCCTGTCAATCGTCAACTGAGTTGGAGTTGCGACATCGAGTTGGATGAGATCTGCTGGTCGTCTTCCGAATGCGAGCTCCAATGGTGTTACTCCCCCGTAGGTGACGGTCTGATTCCTGACAGTTGCAGCGGCCTTCACCAGTTGCCTATAGGTCACTTTCTTCAGTGTTGCAGGTGCAGTGCCTGCTTTGATGGAACTCAGCATGATCTTGAGTTGTGCCTTCAGGAGTCGAACTGCTGCTTCAGCTCGATTTGGCCATGGTGTATTTGGTCCCAGAGATATCGGAGTGATGTCAAGGGACTGATAGAAATGTTCCCATGTATCTGTCATGAAGGCTTGATCTGCGACAACTGATTTGGGCTGCAAGTGGTACTGGTCAAAATAGTTCCTGAGGACAGTGATGTTCTCGACTTCTTGCGTAGTTGTCACTGCCTCTGCAGTGAGCAATGTTGTTGCTCCATCCAGGATGACAAAAACAATGATGTGTTCTCCAGTTCCAAGAGGAACTTGACAGTGATCAATGAATGTCATGTCACCAAAGGTGTCCGCTCGAAGTCCGCTTGTCTTGCTTCGTGATGGTGCATGTTTCGCCGCTTGGCAAACTTCACACTCACTTCGGATCTTGTCAAATAGATCGAATGTTGATTTCGGCAAATGAAGTGCTCGGGTTCTAAATCGAAATTGATCTGTGGTCATGTGATGATGCTGCAAGTGGAGTTTCTTCAACTCTTCTGGATTCGACAATCGCTTGTGGATTCTGCCTGGGGCAAGCGGAAGCGATGTTGGTTCTTCCGAGGATGGTGCGAAAGGATCTGGCTCAATAGTCGACTGGCCCCTCTTGTCGATGATCCTGTCTGCTGCCGATCCTGAACCTGCTTCTACGTCCTTCAGCGAATTGTCCGAGAAGGTGAAAATGGTCTTACCTATCCACAGGTTAATCATTGGTTTATTTGCCTGGGATGTAAGTCTCCAATTGTCTTCCAAGATATCTGGATCTCCACCTGCGGTGATCAGGATTGATTGGACATTCCGTGGCTCCATTTGGTGTGAACAGCGCCTTTCAGGGCGTGATGTGCACACGGATGAGCTGCTTGTTCTTCTTGTCAAGGATCCAATGGTCCTGCTTTTGAGACCCAATGATCTTAGGAGTTGCTAAGTCCTCCTTTGTCTCGGATTTTGCTGCACAAACAGTTTCGCTCCTGGTGAGATCCCCGGAGGGAAATTTGATGCTGTTATCATCGTCATAGACAGAGTTGGTGAGGCCCTTGTGAGCAATTTCTCCATGTGCCTTCACTCTTGCAACTCCAGCAAGATCGACGAGCGCATGTCCTGTACCGGATACTGGAACTGCTTGACGGTTCATGCCAAAGGCCTTGCATGTGATCTTGTCACATTGAGGTGTGTGCTCGATGGTCATGTAGAGGTTCCGCATCTGGCTGATGCTGAGAAGGATCGGTGCAGTTCCTTGTTCAAGGATGTCGATGTTCGTACTGCATGGAGGAGTTGTGTGATATCGAAGATGCTGGGTCCAATTTACCCTGGCGGTCTCTCCGTTTGCAAAGGTGAACTTGGTCTCGGCCGGGATGTACTCGTAGGAGATGATGTCCTTCATTGGTTCGATAGCCTGGGTAAAACGCTGGATTGCATGCCAGCTGCCCATAGATCTGGTACATCCGTTGTCCAGAATCGCATAGGTCGGGTTGTGCTGAGGGTTGATGACAGGCGCCATCAGCTTTGACTTGTTGTAACGGACAGATTGTGTTCTGAAACTGCATCTGATTGGATCAGCTTCTCGTGGATGGCCTTTTTCCCAGGATACTCATATGCATCATGGAATGCCATTAACGCTTGTCCTGTGCTGGATGTCTCATGGGATGAGTACCAGCCATGTTCGTTCAATGTCCATGCTTGATCCCAATCTTGGTCTGTCCAACCGGCATAGGTAGGCTCTGTGGATGGTGCAGTCTGCTACTCTCATAGGATGGATAACCTTTGTTTCCATCATAGGGATATTGGAATTTTGATTTTCCTTTCTTTCCCTTCTTTCCTTTGCCTTTTCCCCAATATGCCTGGTCGTAGGGATCATAGTTTTCGTTGGCCATATTGGCCTTTCCGCCAGAACCGCTTTTTCTGAAGGGTTTGAAGCCACCTCGTTGGGGACTGCCCTTCTTGTTTCCTGATTTTCCTTTTCCTTTTCTCTTCTTGAACTTGAAGTTCCGCCCCGACACTTTTCTTGCTATGAACGCATCGTTCTCCTCGAGGACCCAGAACGTCTCTTCATCGTTGTTTGACATGAATCCTTCAAGTCCTTCTTCATCCTCAACCCAGAAGCCTTCTTCTCCTTCATATTCACCTTGTTCGATGATGAAGAATGTGTTGCTTCGGCTGCCTCCTTGAGGTCGGATGGATGGATCTTGGATCGATGTCCTCGTTGTGATGAAGAGTTCATGGTAGTGTGTCTTCAGCATCTCATAGGAATAATTCTCGAGTGAGATGTTCCTCAATGACATTGCACTTGTGAGTCGTTCTCTTTGTTGATCTGACAACTCACTTTGTATAATGAAAAACTGTGCAATGAGATTATCCCCGAAGGGAAATGCGTCCCGCTGTCTGTCCTGCATTCCTTGGATATATTGTCTGAGGACTGTAGGATCGTCCTCATTTAGCAGGGCTGGAGGCGGTGCTCGAGCACCGGCTGCTTGCTGATGTCGAGCAATTGTTCTTGCATTTGCGTCCTGTACGGACTGTCGAAATGATGGAGACTGCGCCGTAAACATTGGCATCAAGTCCATCCATGCTGCCTTCAATCTCATGAGAAGGATTTCGAATTTTGAGGTAAAAATGAGGAACTCTTGGTTCTGCCTTCTGTGGTTGAAGAAACTGAGGAGTCTGTACAGATACACGTTGGTCGCACCTTTCAAAAAGTACTTCTTCAGCGTGTTCTTGAAATAGTTGACTCCTTCATCAGGATCTTGCAAAAGGTCATTTTGGAGGACGGCCTTGTACATGTAAGCATCTCCAGTGAGTCTGCTCTTAAGCAATGGACCTCGCTTGGCTGCTTCTACTGTGGTGATTGTCACCCAGTCGTCCACGAGTTCTTCATACCTGAACCAGCTGACTTTTCCGTCGTACGATGGCGGCTGCTTGGCGGTCATCGATAAATTGAGTGTTTCCTCCGTGTAGCTCGGCTTTGCCGAACTTGTATAGGCTTCCATGAAGCCTTCTCCATCTGATGACATCTTCCCTTGGATCTCTGCGGAAAACCCGCTCCGCTACCACAAATTGAGGCCCACTGCCCCAGGTGCCTATTTTTGGAGGGAACTGGAACCCTGTGGTAGTTGAGGTCGTTGTTGGTCCCTGGATCTATTCCGGAGAGAGTCCAATATGCCAGTAATGGATGATTGGAGGATGGATTGTCCCTGGTGGATTGTCTTGTGGATAATCCTGTAAGCGGCCTGCAATGGCTCTTTTGTCCTCACGCTCGGATGGTCGTGATTATGCAAAAGGGGCCTTGAGCCAAATGTTGCGGGAGATCAATGGTCTGGAAAACAGAACACAGGGGGTCGGGACTGTCGCGACACAAAGTCGGCAAGCAAAACAGACATGTGCTTTCATAGCTTCAATGTCCTCGATCCGCGTGACATCAAACAATAGTCCCGCGCAAGGACGGAAAACAATGCGTGTAAACTGACAGATCCCATAGATACATATATGCATATTATCATATGTATGTATATATATCTATAGAACAATTGGGCCCAATGGCAAATGGCCCGCGCAAGGACGGAACACAATGCGTGTAAGCGGTTGGTGTGACAACTTCAACAGATGCCAAAGTCAGTGGGCGATATGTGCCTCTTAGGTCAGCGAGCCTAATTTCAGGCACTTGCGGCCATGTCGGATTCATTTCGTCGCCCTTAGGACAACCCCCCTTCCTTAAATACAACCCTGACTACTTAATACTGAAAGTTGACAGCCAAGATTGTTTGGCCCATATTTGTTCGGAGGCTTAGTCCAGCCTGAGCAGACAAGATCAGGTGAGTACAAAGTGTTTCTTTGTTTCTCGGGGAAATATTGTTGCTGCAATTGAGGACCCCAAAACGTTCCCAAGATCTTGAATGCGAAAAAGACATGCTATAATAGAGCGTGCTATGAACAAAGGAGGTGTAACATTAGTGGTTTCCCTCGGCATGCATCAGGATTGGCCAAGCCTCCATTTTGAACAGCCCAGCCTGGTCCCCAAAGCATTGGACTGAACAGGTGCCAAGCTTTTCAAGACATGCAGCGGGCCCCAATCAGCTCATTTGCCAGGCCTGCGGAGTGTGTGCCAGCCTTGGTGTCGGCATGCTGCAACTCCGTGGCTTGGAGACCCAGGACTGCGTGGCAAATGACGGGGAGCTGCAGCAACTAGTGGCGCACAGCTCAGCCGGAGGGAAGGGAAGCCGTTTTGTTTTTCCTCTTCAGCTGAACATTCAGGCTCCAACTCAGCTTGTGCAGGGTGCAGCATTGAGTCTTGAGAGAGAAGTGGCAGGCCGACTACGCAGCGGCAGCCAGCCGAGTGCCGGGGCTCAAAGTGAGGGGAAAAAGGCATGGATGCTTGTACACCTTCCGACTAATTGATCTCATACTGTGGACAAATCCATTTCGCACCTCTTTGAAACTGCGGGAAACCATTGTTTGGTATTTACAGGGGGAATCATCATTTCGTCCATCCACAGTAGGGGGAGGCCAGCACCTTTTGTTATCCTATTGAATCGAAGAAAACCGGTCTCCACGCTGGTATTGCAGTGCACGGGAGCCTAGGTCTTGGTCATAGACGACTCCAGCCATTTCAAGGTGCGCCTGTTTACTTCAGGACACACCGCATGAACATTTCGCTCTAGCCAGGAAGATGTGATCCAGAATTTCGAGCTTTTAGCACCTTTTGTTACAAGCGGCAGGCAGTGGGTGAGTTTGATTTGCGCCCTTGCGCTTTCACTGATGCAAAGTCGCTGTTGCCACCCGCAGTCTCTACGTGGTGTTTGACACTCGCCTTGATCGTCTTTGTGAGGCTGTGCAGCGCCCTCAAAGCAGGCAATTTGGTTTTCGGCGGAAAGACTGGGAGGAAGAGAAAGACTGGAAAAGACCCAGCTGAATCCTCACACGGGCACCTGACAGAAAAACATCGTTCATCGCTCTTTAGCTTTCAGGAAGCGGCTGGGCTACCCCCTTGCCAATGGCTTCAACCCTGGCGAGCAGGCCCAAGTGAGCTTCAGATGGAACCATGTACAATGCATTCCACAGGTGAGGTGCGACTACTACATAGCCTTCCTGGCGTGCTTCTGCGCCGCCACTGTGTTGCCGCACCGGTCGCCCTCACTGAACCTTCGTCCGCTGAGGGGCCGGACTTTGCGCACAGCACTCGACTATAGCTTGCATTTGGGAGGACAATGGTCCCGCCTCTGCTGTCGCAGCACTTTTCCGAAGTCCACAAGACAGGCGGGAGGCTAGTTTCGAGCTTGCAACCAAGTGGCTAAATCTTACGTCTTGCTGATAAAGGTGATGCCACTCACAAGCTTTCCTTTTGCTGCCGCAGCAGTGTGCTGTGATCGATGCAAGATCAGGATTGAAGTCGTTAAGCAGATGCAAACGAACTCTTCATGTTTACAGTCTCTCTTTCATGCAAGGAAAAGGATCTGGGACTCACTGCAATGAAATAAAGACATTGGGTCATTACCAGAATGTCATAGCGACAACCATCAGTGTTTTTGTTGGTGTTGCTGCCAACCGCCAAATGCTTTGGAGTCGATCAATCACAGCCAACATGACATTTGCTACTTGAAGCTTCCATGATCAGCACTAGGCCAGCGCAACCACTTTGGCAACATTATCTATTACAAACATGCAACATGCCTGATTCTATTTGCCGTATCGCTATGAATGTGTTTGTCGAGCATTGTTGGTTCTCAAATAGTTGTCAATGTTTTTACCGAGTACTCCATCACGCTCTACACACTCGGTGAGGCTAGAGCACTTCTCATGCAAATGGGAACGCATCTCGTTGATAGCCTGCGGAGACATGGTTGAGCCTATGTCAACCGTGGCTTGTTATCTGGCATGTTTGTGGCACGGCATGTCCTTAGATCGACAATGCAAATTCCATGAGTTGCCGAGCGGGGACATCGGTTTGCTGTTCGTTTCTTTCAGTCCACCAGTCAGAGTTTGGTGTGAGGAAGCCAATAGTTGGCGGCTGGTTCGGCACAACTTGATATTCTTGACTGCAGATCTTGTTTGGACACGTGCTGGAGCCGCTTGAAATTCACAAAAAGAGGGCAGTACCATGCTGACGAGGCATTTGTGTTGGAGGCACTGTATCAACTGCAGGGTCCCTTAGGCCGTGAGTGCAAGCGGCAGGTTCTTCATCGACCGCTCGGCTGAGCACTTGATCCTGGGATCGAATCCTGGTGGATGGCTGCGCGCAAAAGGTGCGAAGCCATTGCGCAGAGGCATCCTAAAGGCCAGGCAGAACAAATGAAAGCAAGTGTTCAAGGATTTTCCCTTGTCTCCCATGTATAGCACGTTTTGGGACACCATGTGGACAGAGTCGTGGGCTTTTTAGCCAGATTCTTGATGGATGGGTTGCCTGCCCAAGCGGTCGAGACACACGAGCATGCAAAGCATGGAAAGGGGGGATGAGCCGTAATCAGCGGGTCGAAGGAGACCTGAGCTGGCGACTGTTCCAGACCAACACCTTTTCCACTGGGAGAAAGCTGACGCAAGCGGACTCCCTGGCGTTCCTTCAGCCCGATATTTGGGAGTTCGCTGCTCGAGCATCATGTCTGAGCCAAAGAGGCCGGCGAGCGGATGGGCGTTGTGCTTGACTTGAACTAGAGTCAGGTATCCAGGTAGCGCTCAAACACCAGTATTGAGTGAGGCTCAAAGCTTGCAGTGAGATTGCTTGCCGAAACTTTGATCTGCAGACCTGTTTCGTGAAACGTCCATCATGCTGACACAGGACTTGCGACAGCCCACATGTTACCCATCTATCAGTATCATGTTGAAGGTGTGTTTTGTTCTTCAGAGTCGGTTTGTACAAACATACTTAGCTTGCAGGTAATGCATGTTTTGAGACAGGAACTAGCGACCTTCTCTGGCCGAAAGCACAAGGCTAAGCGCAACATCATGGCAAAAGCAGTTCCTTGACAATTCACCCCGCAAACCATGAATGTCCAGCATGTTGACTCACATTTGCCAACCATGAGTGTGATTTGAGTAGAGGCCAAGACAGGAAACTGCTACATGCAAAGGTATATGGACCAGTTTGCTGCATCTCGCTGCCCATTCAAAAGGAACCTGACGCCGTTTATTTTCTCTTCCCGCAGCTGACTCAAAATCGTGGACACCATTTTGGTAGTTGAAAGGGAACCGAAATGGAACCAAAAGAACCTGATGGTTGGTAAAGACAAAAACCCACACAGAAACCCAACAGATCTAATCATACCTTCCCTGATCTTCAGGGATCCAAAAAGACTGGGAATTTCCAAGGAGACGGATCGGTGAAGAAAACGAGGAGTCAACCTCTCGACCCTTCGCCGACGTTCGACCCGTGGCCAGGGCCTTGCGACGCTTCGACCGAGAGGTCGCAGCAGTGCTGGACACCTTGTTGCAGCGTAGGGCGCTCGGATGGATTCGCCATGCCTTTTGCCAGATGTGGCTGTGGTTGTCAAAACCGTTTTGGGATACCATTCTGGTTGGTAGGTGAATTCACCACCCATTTTAGAACCTATTTTAGTGGGGATTGGGATGTTCACTGGGGGTACGGGAGTTTGACCCATGGCCATGTAGGGTGGTAGATGCCGCAGATGCTGCGGAAGTGCGATAGTTGAGTGGAGTTGCTGGGAGCTAATTGGTACTTGCTGATTGCTTCTGGCGCTTGCGGATGGGGTGCGGCAGGCATTTCGGAGAATCGCATTAAAAGATGAGCAGGAGGATCGGTCACTGTTGTTCAGCATCAAATATAGAACTATCATGACGCAGTTAGGCTGGAAGTTGCAGTATGGAGCTGCAGACATTGGATCTCAAGACTGGGAAAATACTGTAGCTGCACTATGCATCTAATGTTCTTCAGAGCACAACGTATTCTCACCATGACATGAGCATGACGTGAAAGCCATGGCCGAAATTGTCACGGTGCCAGCTGATGCAGAAGGCCTAAATCCACAGAGGGACTTGGACAAGCTCGCAGACGATTGCAAGGACCCTGGGCCCGAACGCTCCGCGCTGGCGAAGGATGCTCTTTTCGCCACGAGTGATCAGTGAACGGGTGAGTGATGTCAAAGGTGGAAACGGGCAAGAAGAGAAGAACAGAAGTAATATGTTTACTTCATGCACCATCCTCGGCCATGTTGGCATTGGGTGTATGTCAGTGTGTGGCTCAAATGGGAGCGACCCTCCAGCTCTGAAGTTCAGAGCTATCCAAACCTGGCCAGGTCTGCTTTCATGTGGTGCAAACCTGTCCAAACACGCAGGTCTCAAGGTGTCCCATTCTTCCGATGCAGCCCCAGCTACGTAGCCTCGCCACAGACTGGCAGTTGACGTTTGCGGCTTGCCAACCATTGCTGACTTTGGTTGATCTTATGAATTGTCAGGCCCTGTCAATGACATGTTTCACATCCAACGTGCGGTTGGTCAAGTCACTCAAAAAATAAACCACCAGGATATGGACCGCAGGTTTTAGCCCTTGGTTCCATTTACCAGGGCAACCCATTTACCTATTCTTGACCACCACAGCCATGTCACCACGCGCTGATCGCTGAGCTGCGAGCGAAGGACTTCTCCGGGGAGCTGCTTCGGCGCCTGGCGCTGCGCAGCTCCGGGAATCTGCTCTCATCCTGGGAGCGGGCCGCTTAGGCGAAGCACAAAATCCACTTCGCAGCAGTTGGAATAAATGGGTGTGGCTCAAATTAAACAGGAGGGCAATGCGGCAAACCGCAGGTCTTGGTCCATGTTTCCACTTGCCAGGGCTCCATTTTGGTACCGGTTTTTTGAGCCACAGCCAAATGACAGCCTATTCATACAGTACAGGTTGATTAAAAAAAGAGAAGAAAGAAACAGTGGAGCGACCGGAAGGCGAAGGGGAATGAGAAATGGGATGACCCTGAGAAACCGTCCAACTGGCGGTTTCCTTTCAGGGGAAACCAAAAGCCTGGGTTCATTCAACCAGATTTTGTGCTGAGCACCAGCAAGTTTGGAACATCCAAATCACGGCATGCAGTCCAAGGAATGGTGCCTCCTGACACACAACTTCCTGGCGTTTTTTGCCTCACGCACTGATCTGGCGGTGAGGAAATGCCTGCTCTTGACTTCCATCCAGGACAGAAAAGCAACAACTTCCCAGCGAGCCAGCGTGTGAAATCTAAAGGTTTGCGACCAAGAAAGCCTGGAATCTGCCTGGAATCCGCGAGGACGTCAAGCACGAGGGCCGCAATTTGCGGGTCTCCCTGGAGCAGGGTGGAGAGGAGCCTTTGAGGGCTGATGACAACGAAAACGTGTTGGTTGGTATTTGGAGGGAAGCTCAAAGGAACCTGTTGCCATTTGAGGCACACCCACCCAGCGTGTTGTCTTGACTGATACATGTCAACAACATGGGTGATTGAGGCATGTTGATGTTCACCCTGAAGCCCACGTGATTAGAGCTCTCATGATCTTGACGCCGACGTCCGCAACTTGTGATCCGCACAACTCAGAGCGACGCATGCGGACCATGGTCACGAGTTTGAGGTGGCTGAGCTTGCAAAGCGCAGGAGGTTCTGCGCATGCCGGAGAAGTCCCAGAGTGCAGATGGTTGGGCGGATGAGATCAGGCACAGAATGTCGAGTGTCACCCGAGCAGGTCATCAATCATTCAAGCAAGCAAGCAATCAACCAACCAACCAATCAATCAATCAATCAATCAATCAATCAATCAAAAGATCACAAGATTAGTGCGTCAGCTGCTGTAGTCCGTCAAAGGTAATCAAGCAACCAACCAAACAAACAAACCCAATGACGTCCAATCACATTGAACAAAATCCATAGATCAGATGGATGCAATCCGACCAGATCCCATCCCGTCCGATCCAATCAGCAACGCAAGCGCAGACAAAGACACAGACACAGACACAGACACAGACACAGACACAGACACACACACACACACACACACACACACACACCCACACCCACACCCACACCCACACCCACACCCACACCCACACCCACACCCACACCCACACCCACACCCACACCCACACCCACACCCACACGCACACGCACACGCACACGCACACGCACACGCACACGCACACACACACAACCAAAGCGATCGAGCAGCCAAGCAAGCAAGCAGACCTATGAAGTCACCAATTGCTGCCCAAAGAATCAGCACACCAACGAACCAACAAGCAAATTGCATCTTAGTGTTTATTTGTGTTTAGATTCAAGACTTGGCACAGATAATGTTTAGCTAGTTTCAGATTCCATGAACAATGAGTCCCTAGGAATGCTTTACAAGGGCCTTTCGAAACTGTGCAGCATGTGAGAAGCATTTGCGGTGAATTGTCCAAATGTTACAAGTGAGCCAACGCATCTAATACATCACTGCAGAAATTAGGTTAATCACAGGGGTTGCCTTGTTCCCCTATCTTTATATACAGGGCAGCCACGGCGGCACGCCTCTAGCTCAAGTTTCAGCCCCCTCATTGGGACCGATGGAACATGGCATTAGCATGTTTGATTGAGAGCATGCCTGATTTCCTTGTTGGTATGTCTGAGAAATGGCCATGGCTGGCATATTTGTTCCCGCACCTTACCCGCATTGAAGCCATTGCTGGCCATTTTCAAAAGGGGCATGTAGTTCCATGAAATGTTGAGTTGGCACGTGTTCGAACGTTCTTGACCTGTCGAGGCGTATGGCTGTCTATGAACCCTTTAAGGCTTTCGGCAGCCATCTTGGCCCACTCAAGCTTCCTGTGACCAAGCCATGCCCGTTGCCGCAACCGCATGGCGGTGGTTACCATCGGCATGTCCGGACGTGTGGCGATGAGCCAAGTGGAGTTTGAGAAGTGGTTGGATGCACAGCCTCGAACGGGCGGGGCGTGCTTCTACGACGCCTGAGACTCATCTCGACTTGGTACTGTATGAAGCTCTTTGTGGCAACTCATACACGGTGCGCCATAAACAATTGTTAGTGTTCCTTGTTTCCCTTTAGATACTTTCTTAAAGATTAGAGCATGGGTTCAGTCTAAGGCGACGGGAGGTGGCCCAAAGCGAGCATCTCGCGAATTTCCGGCAGCTGCAGCTGGCCGGGAGCGATGCAACTCCGCTGGGGCCAGAAAGCGATTGGCAGACTTTGCCCTTGGTGGCAGTGAAGCGGGAGTGCTTGACCACCAAAGGCTGGGGTCTCGGAGTTTGCGGATGTTGCATAGCTTGCAACTAGTGACTCGCGGTCGCCACTGGGTATACAATTGTATCTCAAAGCAGCAAGTTGCCATTGGAAGAACGGCACAGCACCCTCAAGGCGAGGTTCGAATTCGACATCCAAAATGACATGTGTGACGCAACTTCTGAATTGATGTAACATCTGGTTTCACAACTTCCTACATTGACATGACGCAACTTTCTGCAGAGTGCGCGTTGACATTGGGCAGAACGGGATCAACCTAGAAACCCTGGTTGGTCCATTCCACAGGCAAGGAGCTTCACGAGGCAGCTGGTGCGGGCAGCGCAGCGGCCGTGATCTCTTTGCTGGAGGAGCCGCAGGACCCAAATCAGATAGATGACGCTGGTGCATCAGCCTTGCACTGGGCCGCGAAGAACGGCCGACAAGAAGTTGCTCGCGTACTGTTGGAAGCTGGCGCTGACGTGGGCAAGACCAACAGGAGCGGAGCCCCGCCCTTGCATTTTGCTGCACTCGAGAACCATCAAGAAGTTGTATCGCTCTTGTTGGACGCTGGAGCTGACCCAGACGCCGACACTTGCAACATATCTATCCTGAGGCTGGCTACACAGACGAGGAATAAAGGGCTCGCGAGTCTCATGCCATGCTGAATGCTGGTGCTGACAGGGACAAGGCCGACGGCTATGGAAGCACATGCATGCATTTGGCTGCACTGAAGAGCTATCCCGAGATGATAGTATGTTTGTTGGAAGCTGGTGCTGACCCAAACAAGCCTGACAAAGGTGGAAGGACACCTTTGCATTTGGCTTCAGAGTGGGGGAGCTATGAAGCTGTACACTGCTTGTTGACATCCACGGAAATACGCCTGTGCACTTGGCCGCATACCATGGCCATCAACTGATCCTTCGTTTCTTGCTGGACGCTCGTGCTGACCCTCAGAACGGCAAGCATGGCTGCAAGACGCCTTTGCATTTATCTGCATTGACATTAGGTGTCACCCGGCTGCATGCTGGAATTCCAAAACACGGCAAAAGTGAGCTCTGCGGTCGAGCCGCGCCTTCAGACGACTTCTGTACTGTGGCCCAGATGATTAGTAACCCCAGTCACATATGTATGTTGGGGACACTGTACTGGACAGGCCATCTGAGCAGAGCATCAATACGGGCATCTCGTTTTGAGGGTTCTTTCAGGAAGACCAGCAGGAAAACCCACGATTTTTCAGAGGGCCCCCAAACAAAAGACAGGCTCACTTCAATTCACGGTGCCATAGAACTGGAAGGGGTTCTGTTAAAGGAAACCACAGGGGATGGTTTTGCTCGGGGTCAACTCATTCAGCAAGAACTCTTTGGAAGCAAGTTGGGTGGCTTGTCCCACCAGAGCCTCGAACCAATCCCGGTTGACGAAAGTTGCTTCGGGTCGTACGCGGGAACTAGTCCAACGGCAAAAGAACACCGGCTTACACAACCGTTGCGAGGTTGGGCCAACCGCCTGGTTGTTGAGAACTGAGATCGTGGTCCTGCTAGCTCCCCCAGTTGGATGCAGAAGATCTCCTGTTGTAGTCTTTGTTTTTTCCGTGGTTGGAACAACCTCACAAGAGGTTGCTTGGCATGAATACGTAAATCCACCTAAAACTAGTATCCGCAAAGGGCCCCGCTTTAAAATGTTGGGGGTTGAAATGGAGAATGCTACTTAAACATATTTAACATATTTGTTTGACCCAGTCTCAGTGGACTGAAATTAGCCGTCCGCGACCCCTGTGAGGAATTGGCCCAATCCGGAGCTCCCTTCTATGCTCAAAAGTATACGACTAACTCACCACTTGGCTGCGGCGAAAAAAACGAATGTACCAAAATGGCCCCTTGGTAAATGGAACCAACGGCTAAAACCTGCGGTGTTTTTTTCCCCTAGCTCCTTAGTTTTGAGCCACACCCACTTCTGCCTACCAAGCGTCGGTTTGCCCCACTTGGCCTCCAACGACCTTGTCTCAGGCGCCGCTCGGAGAAGCTCCGCGCCGCGGGGCAGGGGATGATGCCCTGCGGCTCGGCGAAGAAAGCCTCGGAGGCGGTGGAGCTACTGCGGATGGTTGCGAAATCCGCTTCTCGCCACCATGACATGAAACCATGGTTGAAACCATTTGTTCTTGGCGGGGGAAGCATCATTCCACGACCATGGTTGAAACCATTTTTTGTTGGTATCATCAGAAGCCAGGGTTTGTTAGGTGGTGCGAAATGGATTTCGTTCATGCACAGTGTGACGCGTTTGCCCCCCGCTTTGGGAATTAAAACTGGGGGCGTGAGTTTGACCGTTTCTGGGGGTGATCAAAGTCAGAAAATGGGGGTGTTTCCCTTTAACCCATCACTTGGGTGACTTAGGTGGTTACTTTGATGGTAAAAATTGAGGCCAGTAAAAGGTAAGGAATCCCCTTGCAAATGGCTGCGCACATCCGCCCTCAAAATTCTGTACATGTTTCTGGGTTTGGATTGTGTTAATACCGAGGGGTTTTGATTTGGATCTCTTGCGTTGGGCCTATATGGGCCCATGTGCCAGAAAGGATGTTTGACCTGGGATGCTTCCCATCCCAGGTCTGAGCCTTGCAGAAGCCTCGAGCTGGATGCAGGACGCTCGACAAGCAAACTCCATGCTGCGCTCCAGCTGCAGCTTGTGGCGTATGTGCATTCCTTGCAAGGAATGCACTTGCAGAAGAAAGCCCGCAGTTGCGAAGTCCATGTCACCGTTTAGAAACCCTGGTTTCTGACTCAATTCCCCCAACAAAAAGCCGTAAGAAACCTGGTTTAACAACTCCATGGCTCCTAGCCGTGTACGGCAACCGCGCCCTCCGCATCTCCCAAGCGCTTGGGCGTGGCTCTAGAGGAGGCGCTGGCGGAGCTCGCGGGCGTCTCTGAGGAGCGACACCAGAAGGTGGAGGAGGAGATGCGGCGGAAGCGCTGCCAGGCGAAGGATTTGAGACAAGGTTTTTCTGGGGTGACTGCGACTACCAAACAGCAACAAACAAACACTTACCACAAACAAACATTTGACAAGATACCACAAGCAAGAAACACTTGACTGGAAAGCAAAGAAGCAAAGATACGACTGAAAACCACTTGACCATTGGAAAGCCACACCATTGGGAATACCACTAAAGATACCACAAATAATACAACACTTGACCAGTGCCACGAAAGAGATTTCATGCGTTCATGAAATGGCAAAAGTTGGCCATGGTCATTTGGAGGCCTTTCAGGGAACATTGATCAACCCCCACTTGGTGGCATAGTATGGAGTATGGGAGTAATGCAGCCTGAGGTGGGCATTCTGAGATTCAGCTTTGAGATCAAGTGGCTGTGGGTCAAAAAAGGTACTCAAAATGGGTTGCCCTGGTAAATGGAAACTTGAACTACAACCTGCGGTCCAATCCCTGGTGGTTTAATTTTGAGCCACACCCAAATGTTCGATTTTCTGCCAGGACCAGTGTCAATACCAGGAAACCTGGTAAGAAAACCCAGGATTTGCTGCCAGGTGGGGGAAATTTGCTTCGTGTCAGTGATCCTTGCACCCGGGTTGGGGTCATGAGTCATGCCAGCCAATCCGCAGGCCTTTGCCGTGATTTTCCGCGCGACGCTCTCGGGCCGGATACGCGTAGCTGGGCACCCCAGCGAGCGATTTGCAGACGCGGGGTGAGTGTCAGATGGCTCCTGCGGGCTGTTTTCCCCTGAACTTGGCCCATCTTGTGGGATTCAGCGCTGAACAAAAAGTGCGTGTTTGAGAAATTAAATAATCATAGATGAAAGTGTGCGAGCCAACACTTGCACTGATCACCAGATGTGTGGCGCCAAGGTGCAACGGGAAGCATTTGCAGAATTGGCGCTACATGCGAGGATTCAGGACGCTCAGCTCGGAATGCACACTCAGATCTTACTCAGATCTGAAGTATCACAGAAAGAAGACAAGGTGCTCCAAGGGGGGGGGGGGGCAGGAATGACTTCAGGGCTAGAGTTTGGTAAGCTTCTGCCAGGCTTTGCAAGGTTTGATTCATTGATTCGCAGGCAAGCAGTGGCAGAAGCGAAGGCGCCAATCGCCTGACACGCAACTGACGATCTGGAAACGGGCTTGAGCCATGGTTTCTCTTTAAAGTGCCCGCAACAAGTGCAATAGCAAACAAACAAATACACGCAAAGAAACGCACCAAGTCCTCCGCGTTCTGAGGCGCTCTGCCGCGGGCAGCGCATGGCGGCAGCCAATCGCTTGGTGCGTGCAGTGGGGCAGCCCTTCTGGCGCCAGCGCGAAAGGACGAGAGCCTTTGGTGGCAAACCAACTAGCAGGTATACAGAAAAGCCAGGGATACGGGAGGATTTGCCACCCACAGCGCCTCAAAGGGCATGCAGAAGCAACATCCCCAGCATCCCGGGATGCAGCAACAGCATCCCCAGCTATCGCCACAGACCTTCCTGTAGCAGGTAGGCATGGTAGGCCAAAGAGCATGCAGCAACTTTCCAGCATCACCAATGCATCAAAGCAGTGTCTCTACCGCCTTCCCTTTTGAGAGAAACTTCTCGCTGCCAGACGTAGGGCTCGTGTAGGGGCAATGTTAGCTTTAAATCCGGAGTAACGTCAGGGTGACCAATTTCCTAAACATGGCATCCTACTGACCCGTCCGCAAACACGGGTCCCTTGTTGCGGCATCCGAACTTCACAAAGGCTTTTCTGTAGCCTTGCTGAAGACACTTTCTGACAGTACCTCCATTTTAGGAAGATGGTAATGGGGTGGTTTCCTGTTAGTGAAGTTCCAGCTTGATGAAAGTGCAAATCGTCGGCCTTGGACTGCAGGAAGAGCTGTGAGCGGTTGTTTGATGAATGTTGTTGGTGAAAATGAACAGTTGGACTGTGCCAGCTCTCGATGCGGTTTGTCAAAGCCCAATTTTGTGTTTGACCTCATGTTGTTTTTGTTTGGTTCATAGCCTTCAAGAACAAGTTCTTCAGATTATGTCAGTGAGCGTGGGTATGTCGCAATAAAAAGGACTTTCAGTGGCGTTGTTGTTGTGTGCCTCATTCTGAAAGCTACCCAAAAGGGGTCGCCATTTCAGATAACGCTGCTTAAGATTCTGACAGCAGCATTTATCATTCGAGGGTTTTGCTCCAAACGTACTTGTGCATTGTTCGACACATTGGACAGGAGCCTGGCTGCCTGGCGGGCTCATGGACAGGCTGGATGTTTGCTCCGGAAGTGTGCAGTGCTATCAATTTCGCCAAGGACAATTCAGCCATAGAGACTGCAGAGTCACATTTCACAAGTTGCTATCCCCGCAGGCAAAGACATTGGCGGCAGCCAAGGGTTTGCGGCGTGCGCTGGTGTTGCTCTCCAAGCTGCTGAGCGCCTGGGCTAAGTGACTCTGTCACGGCAAGTGGTTTCCTCATCGAAATTTGTTCTCAGCGTCGGTCAACGAAAGCATGACCGGTTAGTTGCAAACCATCAGTTTATCAGTTGATGAGATTGGTTGATGTCGCTTGCTGGACAATTAGCCGATCCCTGTTTCAAGTGCCAGCAATTGTCTACACAATTACTCTTGACTCTTTACCGCTCACATAGGAGAAGCTTCAATCGCGCCAATCCAGCCAGTGCCAGTGTGGAATTCAGCCAATGCAGTCGCCACGTTGCCGCATGGTGACGGACTGGTGAGCCTGGTCGCTTGAGGAGCCCGCGAGGCGGACGCCATGCGCCAGGCCTTGGTGCAGCTGAGCCGGCTCTGCCATTCTGTGCGCCAGGCCACCGGAGGTACTGACTGCTTAGATGCACTAGGTCTCCCAGTAGTGCCCATTTACCTTTTTTGGGGGGGAGGGTTCCCCTACTAAAATAGCTACAGAAAAAAGGGTACCCTTATTCTAACCTCTCTACTGGAGAACCTAGTGCAGGGTTTGGTGAAAGGAAGAATCTCACTCCCCTGCGCCCTGTGCAACCAACCCTAGCTGCAGCTCCAAGCCTAGCTGCATCACCGGCTTGGACCTGGAATGGGATTCCTCCAAACATTTGCACCCCACAAAAACAGCCGCACTATCAAGTTGAGCTTGGTCAGGTGGGATGAGGTCTGGATTGTGCCAATTTGTACCTCGCACGGTTCAGGGAGGTTGGTATTTTGAGAGAGATTCGTGATATTTTGCGTGGTCTTGTCAAACAGGAGACACACGGGAGGTCTGAGGTGCGTATGTGTGACAACAGTGTGGCAAATGCTGCCGCCTATTTATAGCCCAAGCCAAGTGACGCAGGAGCAGAAAGCGCTTCGCCATTTCGAAGCGGACGAGTTCTACAAAGGTTGCCTGACTCGAAAAGGCAGTTTGCGACAGACATCTTGCTGGCTGCAAGTCCAGTGTTCTGGCGTTCTGCTAAATGAAGTAAGAATATGACATCTACACAAAATCCATCCTGTGTCCTTAGGCCTGTGGCAGCTGGACGATCCCTCGCGCCGCCGCGCCGCTGTTCGGCTCCTGCGCCTGGCTTTGTCCAAGAGCAGAGCTTTGGCTGAATCATGAGGGCTGACTCCACGGGTTGCAGGATCCGACACGTGACAAACGCCCTCTTGGACGACACCAAGGGCATGTCTAAGTTTCGAAGTTTGAAGACGAAGCACAAGTTTGCCTGCACTTTGTCACGCCTGGTGCAATCCTGACCGACCACGCGACTTTTGCGCAGAAGGATACACACAGCCTGGGGATCTGAGTCAGCAAGTCCTACTGCAATCCACTGCAGCCCTTGTTCGGTCCTTTCTATGACTTTCTCTTGTTTTGCCAACAGATTTCCTGATTGATCCACTTTATCCACTTCGCCAACAAGCAAATTTCAGCCAAGAACACCTATCAGTACTTGTCATCAATCAATCAATCAATCAATCAATCAATCAATCAATCAATCAATCAATCAATCAATCAATCAATCAATCAATCAATCAATCAATCAATCAATCAATCAATCAATCAATCAATCAATCAATCAATCAATCAATCAATCAATCAATCAATAATTTGCATTGTGGCACGAAACGGCACCTTCCCAAATGGTTGGCGGACATAACTCCCCACCTCAATGATGAGACTTGTCCAATTCGATTTCCTACCAAGATGTTTTCTACCACACCAAAGCCACTGAGATTTACACCAACGAACGAACGAATCCGGGTCTCCGAGCACTGAGTGTGCGACCTTTAGGCTGGTTGGTGGCCAAAAACCAAGAGCACGGCACAAACCTCAAGTGAGCCACAATCAAAACCCGGGTAGATGAAGGTTAGTTATTGGACGATCCCAACCATAAATAGCTGCGGCCGCCTTCTTAATTCTTCACACGGTTCTTGGTAGACCATTTTAATACCGGGTTTTTATTGTGACTCAAGTGGGTATGGGTCAAAATACACCCACCAGGGGACCGCAGGTTTTAGTCTTTGGTTCCATTAATCAAGGCAACCCATTTTGGGTCCTCATTTTTGACCCACAGCCAAGTTGGTTACTCAGGTGTGTTTCCATTAAATAGGTAGTTTCCTGTTGGTTGGCCTTGAAAAAGGCTACCGGTGTTTGGTGCCCAAGGACGCTCCGCATCACCTATGGCTCTATTTTGGGGTGGAGGAACATCCATTTGCCACCTATTTTGATGTTCACCAGTTTCCTGGGTTTTGACCAGCCATGTGGCTTAACTCAAAATCGGGGACCCTGAAAATCGGTGTTTTGTTTTCCCTGCGGCTCCAGTCGCGCGAGCTCCCGGCCGAGGCCGGCGGCGCCTCAGCGGCGCGGTGCGGCTCTGGAGCCGCGGCGCCGGCGAGCGGCTGGGGGCGGACGTGGAGTCGTCGCTGCGCCAGGCGCAGCGCCTTTGGCACGCGGTTGACGCGGTGAACGCTGGATTTCTAGGTCCCCCTGTAGTGCCCTTTTACCGTTTCTTTTTTGGGAGAGGGTTCCCCTACTGAAATAGACTACAGAAAGAAATAAAAAGGGTACCCTTATTCTAACCTCTCTACTGGAGGACCTAGGTTTTCTTTGGGCGCCGTGGCTGTGGCAACTGGGAAATAAGCATAAAACGGGGGTGGGGGGGGGGGGGAGCGAAAAACACCAGTTGGAGGGGAAAAAAGCCGTTTCACTGGGAAATGAACAGGCAAAGTGGAGACAGGGAAAGACGCCAGTTTGAGGGGTTGTGCCGGCGGGGGTGGGGATGGGACGTCATGCTTGCAGAACTTGTGATTGAACATGTTTAGCTTCACTCCTTCACTCCTTGGTGATTAGCTAGGCTTGCTTGCGAAGGATATCAAGAATGGTTCAAAGGGTTCCAAGTCAGGGAACCAGCTCCAGGGCAAAAAGCACTGGATCCAAACAAAGGTAATTTGCTGAGGCAAAGCGTCCACCTAATTGAGGATGAGTATGTTGGTGTGAGTCAACTTGGTCGATGGAGAGGACCTTACGATGGTTAGATAATTTGCATCTCATGGTGGTAGCCACGCTTACAAGCACCTACAGAAGTGGCATGATCATGCGAGATACAAAGCGTCACTCGAGCTGAGGAGCGTCAACGCAGAGCTGGCACAGAACAATCGCGAAGTGGAGGCGGTGAAGGGCTCGAAGTCATGGCTGAGCTTAGAAAGTCAACGAGTCGACAGGAAAAACCAAGCCGGGGTCCAACATCAGCCGCTCCATTTCTTTTTCCGGACGACGTTCATTTGGCACAAGCCTTGCCATGCGCAGGTGGAAGGTCTGGTGAGTTGCTTTGTGCCAGGGGCTGAGAAAGACGAGGGGCGGCGGTTGTGAGAGCGTTATGCGCGCGCTTGTTTCAGTCAGATGCAGGGCAGCGACGGGAGTGCGTGCCCCTGGCACAGCCATTGAAGAAATTGTGTTGTTTCCCGGGGTCACAGGTTCTTGAGCCTGTCCCTAGTAGCTGGCCGTGCGTTATGAATGGCGCAGGGCCGGTTCCCTCTGCAGCTTCATTTAAAGATCAAACAGAAAGGTGGGAGATGGTGGGAGCTTTCCAGCCTTGAAACATGAAGTTGGTATCAAAGTGAGCATTATTTTTAGGTGTCGGCATTTGCAACATGTTAAACAAAAATGAGATACTGTGGATGCGCGAAATCCTGCACCAGCTGTGTGAAGCCCTATGGGACAAGCCACATCTGGTTTCTGAATGGGTTCTGAGTTCTGAGTAAAAAAGAGAGAAAACAACACACAACCTGAGAAACAATAAGAAAACTGAAAAGCGATACTGGACTTCCGAAAGTCGGAATGAGTACACCCCAGAGAAGCCAGGGTGTTTCTCAAAATATGGAACCCCTTTTTTGGGTTTCAAATGGGGGTTTAAAAGGACTCCCCCCCTCCTCACCTTCAAGGGTCCCCAATTTGAGAGAAACGGATCCCCAAGATATGGTCATATTCTTCATGGATCTCAACCTTCCGGCCCCCCAATTGTCTAACTCTATTGGCTTGGATCTTTAGACTTTAACTTTTTGGATTCCCTTCAGATTTCCTTTTCACCGGCAAAGAGTTTTTTACTTTTTTCTGGTGGATTTAAAATTTACAGCACCCGAAAAACATTGGAACGCGTTTGTCGCATGTGGATCTCGTCTGAGGCACAGCCTGGGCGGCGCGGTGCAGCGGCGCCAGCTCTGGGCGCTGCGGAACTGGGGCCACTCAGCTCCAGGGGGTGAGGTGGGAGGGGGGGTGGGGGGGTAGGGGGGGTTGGGGGGTTGGGGGGTTGGGGGGTTGGGGTTTGGGGGAGGGGGGCCCATATGAGGGTCGTGCCTTTTTCTTGCGCCATTTCAACTTGCTGGGCAGATGTGTTTGAGGTTGCGGCTTTTTTGCAGGTAGCCTTCTTGGGCTTGAAAGCGAAGCCAAAAGCAAGACCAGCCAGCCCTCAGCCAGCCTGACACACCCTCCAACTCCAACCAATTTCAACAGCGGCAAATTACCGGGATGGTTGCACAGTTCGAGGGAACCATTCGCACCATGAGATTGATTGAACACATCCACTTAGGAGTTGAGCAATTACGGCTATGGCTCAACTCGCATGCCGAGCATACGAGAAGTAGAGGGTGGGCGCTTAACAAACGCATGAGGTAATCTTAAGAAAAGAGTTGGGAAACGACAAACTCATACAAGTGCGCAAACAAAGTGCAATATGTTTGGAGAAGGAAAATACCAGGCATGGTCTGACGGCCAAGATTGAGAGCAGCAATGCATTTCGTAAAACTGGTGCTTGTTTTATGCGTCTGGCAGCCAGTAGTTGAGGTACAGACAAATCGCTGGATGTGCAATTGCTTGTATTGCATGCCCTCTTGAAAGCTTTGTCAGATACAAAGTTGAATGCACATACCCGAGTGAAAAGATTGGACTAGGGCATGGGCGCTCCAAGCCGGTTCGTTCAAGCATCCAGCCACCTCCACTTCTGGAAGCGCTTTACATCCCTGAGATAGTCGCATATGTGCCATCAGCTTGATCCCGACGTGATTTGTGCTTCTGGCAGCACCCCCATTTCTCCTCGACAATTGGTGATTCATACAGCCTTGGTCTACAGCCCAGGTGCCTCACTCACGCGCTTACGCTTTCAGCCCGCCTCTCGTGCGCGCCTCCAAGCGCAGCCAGGTTGAGGTCGGATCTTTTGACATGGCATGTCAGTCAAGGAGACTGCCTGCAGTTGGCTCTTGATCCGCGGGCAAAACGCTTTGTGTTTTCTCTGGGGGTCTCCACCGTGGCGGACCCTGTTGCACAGCCTCCGCTTGCTCCAAGTCGGCAAAGTCCGCGCAGACTGCCCAAAGACTGGCAGTTAGACTCAGATTGCGGAGCACATAGAAAAGCGGAGCCACGCTTGTCGTTCTTTTCTCCTGCCCATTCCATGTGCCATGCCCTGGTGCGCCTGTTGGCATACTTGTTGGTTGTTTCGTATGCCTGGTGTGTTCAATGTGCCTTGTTTGTCTTCTATGTTTGCTTGTTTGTTTGTTTGCTTGGTTTTTTGCTTTCTTTGTCTGTCTCTGTGAATGCTTGCTTGCTTTGCTGGCTTTGCTTGCCTGCTTGCTTGCATGCGTGCTGGCTAGCTTGCCTTGCCTTGCCTTGCCTTGCCTTGCCTTGCCTTGCCTTGCCTTGCCTTGCCTTGCCTTGCCTTGCCTTGCCTTGCCTGCTTGCTTTGCTTGCTTGCTTGCTAGCTTGCTTGCTTGCTTGCTTGCTTGCTTGCTTGCTTGCTTGCTTGCTTGCTTGCTTGCTTGCTTGCTTGCTTGCTTGCTTGCTTGCTTGCTTGTTTTGCTTGCTTGCTTGCTTGCTTGCTTGCTTGCTTGCTTGCTTGCTTGCTTGCTTGCTTGCTTGCTTGCTTGCTTGCTTGCTTGCTTGCTTGCTTGCTTGCTTGCTTGCTTGCTTGCTTGCTTGCTTGCTTGCTTGCTTGCTTGCTTGCTTGCTTGCTTGCTTGCTTGCTTGCTTGCTTGCTTGCTTGCTTGCTTGCTTGCTTGCTTGCTTGCTTGCTTGCTTGCTTGCTTGCTTGCTTGCTTGCTTGCTTGCTTGCTTGCTTGCTTGCTTGCTTGCTTGCTTGCTTGCTTGCTTGTGTTTGGCGCTTGTGTGATTGTGTTCATGTTTGCACTTGTGTTTATGTGTGCGTGTGTGTGCCCGTGTACACGGATGGCTGGGTGTTGGTGTGTTTGAAGGCGCCAGAGTTTAAGCCAGCAGGGACTCCAAGCGGAGTCTAGCGTTTGGCGGGCACAAATGTCTTGCCCATTAGGACAGTTGGTTCAGCCACAGGAAGCACAAGCTTCCTTCCCGGACCTGCCTTCACCAGGCTCCGCATGTTGTTTGTTTACCATGGCTGGCACTTTGCGTAACAGAGGTGCGATTGCGGCCGGTCCGCCTTGTGGCAACAGAGTTCTAGGTAGTTTGGGCGTGGGGAGAAGGGGGTTCAATTTCACTTTTCACGAAAGGATAGGATGTGGCAGTAAAGGATAGAAGATTTAGCAGTCGACTTCACGTGGCGCCAAGGTAAAACAGCTCTCTGGGGCAGTGTGGAAGGCTTGGAACCTTGGGAAGCACTCGTCTGCTTGGGCTTTGAAGGCACGTGGGAATTATCCCTTGTTTCTGACCACTTGCCCCAGCGAAACCTTACAGAAGGTACAGCGAAAAATTGCGGATACTGGTTGCACAAGTTGGAAGTGATGGTGGTTTCCCCAGCGACATCGACAGGTGACGGCGCAGCACAAGTCTGTCAGCTGCTGCAGGAGGGATGCGGGGCATGGTTGGCAGATGCTTCTATTGGGCTGGGGAGGAGAGTGGTCAAAACAAAGTTTGTGGCCCAATGATCCATGTTCTTTGATGACTGCTCACATTAAAGGATGCGATTCCAGGATGCTTGGCACAAAGGTTATGAAGTTATGTGGCTGTGGGTCAAAACCAATGGTACAATGTTTGTCCATTTTAGTGGGGATTGGGAGTACGGGCTTTTGACCCATGGCCATGTGACTTGAGTCAGCGCCGGGCTGGCCTATGCAGCAGCTTTGTGTTTGGTCTGTTGATGCCGTACAGGACAGCCTTGACGTGCACCTTCCAAGAATCGGAGCATCGGGTGCCAATGCAGCGGGAAGCTGAGAAGGGAGTTCAAGCACAAAATAGGAGGCATTTGGGATCAGGTAAACCAGTATTCTGCTCCACCTTACAAATTCAAAAGGCCTGTGGATCTGAATGCAAACTGCTGGAATGCCTGCATTCAATCCAACCCACTGAGGTACTCATGGCAGCACATGCTGGGCGATGTCTCGCAGCACGGCCTGCAGGACGTGCAAAGCTTCTGGCCAGAGCGCCCAACGGCTCCATTGACGAAGCATGAAACAGGGCTTGTGACTGCCATAGCTGAAAATGCGAACACCGGGATTGATTTTTTTGCTCACTCCAGGGAAGGTACGCCATTGAACAGACTTTCACGCCAGGTGATGCAGTCGGCCATTCTTAAGCGACATGTCTAGCGGCTTGCCTTCGCTCCAAATCATGTTGCAGCCTTGTCAGGAGAGTCAGCTCCGTGCCTGCCTGCCACAGACTGAACAGAATTGCAAGGGGGAGGTAACACTCATTTCACCTCAAGGTACGAAGTCATCAGAAGCTTTCTCAAAATGGTGAACCCCTTCTTGGGTGGTAGGAAACCAAAGGAAACCATCCTTTAGAGGGACCTCCCGACTTGACAGCTCAGGCTGCTGCCTATGCCCGGCTGCTGCGCCAACTGGGCCGTGGCTTCGCAAGCGGCTGGCTTGGCCGGGGCCGTAATCGACAGCTGAAGCTCCAGAAAGGTGATGGAATGCCCCGGACAGGCAACGAAAAGACCAGCTCACCCGTTTTGCCCCCCACGATCTTCGGTTTCCGGCTTCCTACATTAGCCAAAACCCCCACTTGATCTAAACGGTTTACATGGCTTCCGCGAAGGGAGAACAGGGACCCTGCATCGCGAAAGCTCCGCGAAAGCGTTTCCGAGAACTCGGTCCGCGAAAGCTCCGCGAAGGGGCTAATTACTTGTTCCCAACTCGTCCTCTGTGACATCCGGGACAATCCCCCACCAGTGCGAGCTCTAAGGCCTGGCGGCCTCAGGCGCTACACCATGTTCGATTTTGATTTCGCTCATGGAATGTCCCATGGGAGTCGCATAAAGTGTCTCCATTTGTACCCAAGAGAAGGTTACTTAGGTTGCTTGGGTTTCTTTCGATGCACGCCATCCCTCGCGTTTTTTCTGAGCCTTGCCCTGCCAGGCACGGATCCCCCGTGCGAGAACTTAGCAGCCGCGCTGGTGCAAGAGCTGTGCTCTGCTCACAGCCAGGCCTGGGGCTCCCGAGTAAGGGAGCAAGAATCCTCAATGGCGTCCCTTTGTTGGGGTCCCCTGAGCTTCCAGGCGCAATCCAAGTGATCTAATAATTCTGAAAGTTCGTGCTAACGATTGCTGGTGCCACTGGAAGTTGTTCACCGGCTGGTGCGAGGAAACCTTCGACAACGTGGCCTCCGCGTTGCAGACCCGCCTCGCTTCAAATGAGCGGCAACTGGATCTTTGGGGATGGACCGCGTCTCAGAGACCGCCAGGATTGCGGTTGCTCAAGTCCACGGAGTAGAGGTCGCAGGAGCTTTGCAGAAGGCCTGCAGGGGCTTGAGAAGCAACTGCTGCGAGAACTGGCAAGTTGTCTTCCGTAAAAGACTGCTCTACTTGCAAAGGAGAGTGTCCACGATCTTCCAAGCTTCTGATGTCAGCTTGGCCGATTCAACCAGGCGTCTGAAAACCTGCCCTTGCAAGTGGCCGCGGCCTTGGGACTGCTGCGAAGAGACTCCATTTGTTTAGCGACAGAAATACGCTCAGATTCGCGAAATGTCACTGCCACGCCTCCCACTCTCAGGCCTTCTCCCTGCTGCTGGCACTGCTGCAGGATGCTTGCTCCGAAGCATCAGAGGACCGCGCAAAGAGAGCTGGCGAGGTCGGTCAATGTTGTTCACTAGTCGTTCACCAGGATGCAGTTCGCAAGTTGCAGTTGCTCATATGTCATAAGATTGTCATTGACTTGAAGGCTCTTCGGAAGGTAGGCCGCAATCGGCTCAAGGCAGCACGTTGTTTCTTTGCGATCAACCGCCGCTGCAAACGAGATGAGTGCACATTTAAACGGAAGAGCCTGCCAACTGAGCGTTTAAAGTTACATGTTGATGATGCCCTTTGCCTGATGTGTTGCTCGAAGACT